TCTTCCTGAAATGTGTATACATATTTTTGGCGATCTTTGCATATACGTGTGTATAAGTAGAGTAAATATTGGACCGTCTGTTCCACGCTTAAAACCAACCATCAGACCATCGTGATTCTATTATTTCTATATGTATAGCTTATGTTTACGAAGGCCTATAGTTTCTGGTTTATTGTGTTACTTTAATTGCTTCTGAATATGTAAAAAAAAAAATGGCTATTTTTCTGTTTCGTCTTCGTTAACGTGGCTTTTTTCATAATTATGTAAGCTATTAAAGAATGGGCCAAAAGTTTAGGTTTTATATTAAAGTCATTCGGTAATGGGTTGTAATTTTAAGGTACGGACTTAATTCACATTTATTTGTTATTAATTACTTTAGTATTTTATTTATTCAATTATAACTTGATCTCGTTTATTTCTGCGCTGAAAGCCGCCTTTCTGGCGGAGTTTAGGCTAGTAATGACTTTATCTTCAGCGTCCTGTGTATGTAAAAAGTTATAAGAATTTAGAAATAAAAAAAGTATTTTATCTTTCTTCGACACCTTAATTCAGAATAATCTTTCATCTCATACGCAAATAATCTCTGTATTTTGTTTACTCTAGGGTCCTTCACAAATTCGGTATTACCTAAGGCTTAAAATGAATTTTTAAAAATGAAAAATAATTCTGGCATATTTCATTTAATCTTTAATTGAAAGTTAATTTATTAAAATTACTATTTCCAATAAGTAAAATATTCTGGTGTATTTCAAATAGAAATTATATAGATCGGAATCTCAAATTTTTGGCCGATTAAAGAAAATTTTCTTAAAAGCATCCATTTTCTTAAGTTTAAGAAATTTGTAAACAAAACAAATTTATCGGTTTTAAAATTCTTTCAAAAATAAAATATATTTGTGACACGTTATTTGAGTAAAATTCACAAATTTAATGTTAAATCAATCTGATTTTATATAAACATTACTTACTTATAGCAGAAAAAAGTAATATACAATATTTCTTTCATCTTTATTGAAGTATCGATAAGTTTCGATGTGATGACATCTTGCATGGATGACCAGAATTGACATAAATTTATAAAATCTAACTGAACGCATTTGGGGGGTTACCTACCCAGTAATTTTTGAAAACTAACTTATTTTCAGCAATTATCTAATATTTTATTGACATTTAGTTACGTTTGCTGATGCTTTATATAAAACAATTAAAAAACTACAAAATTTTCGTAAATTAATTTTTAAATTTAATAACAGATTAAATTAAAGATAAGTAAGCAAGAAATTCAAGATATTGATCGGGAATTCTTTTATAATAATTAAAATATTCTTTACTCATTAATAGTTGATAAACTTTAATTAACATTAACTAAAATGGACTATATAGTTTATTTATTTTATTTTTTTAATTTTTTTGCAGAAACGAAAAATCAATTGAATTTCTCTACACGTCTTTCGTACATTTCAATTAAAACCGTTTTGGACACAAAAAACAATGTAAAATTAATTTTTACATAATTGAGTGTTGCAGATTTTAATAAGCTTTACAATTTACGATATGTAAAGATAGATCTACTTAATGCCATCATTGACTAACCTGCTCGCCATTTTCACTAATTTTAGATTATTTAACAACGTTATTATAATAATGTTAAAAAAGAAGAAATAAATAATTCTTGTAAAAATTCATTTTTTATCGAAAATATTTCTTGACTTCTATATTCATAAAAACAACTAAAAGCAACAAAAAGCATTTAAAATTAAATAATATCATTGTTTTATTGTATTTTTTGGATGTTGCAATTCAGAGCTGAATTTAAGTAGATGAAACTAATTAAAAAAATAAAAACATAATTTACTTTCTTCAAAGTCTTGTGACTTTAACTAATATAATCACTAAATGATTCACCATAGAATTTCTAGAGTTTTCAAAATTTAGTTATAGTTGGGAGTAATAAATATAAAAAAAATATTTTTGCCATGACTTTATAAAAACATTTATAATAATTTCCATCATTTGTGAATAGTTTCTGAAGGTTTAATTAAAATCCGACAATTATTTTTATTTTTGAAAGATTTTCCAAATTAATGTCTGTCATTAAAAAAAGAAATGCGCTAAAATATGGTATGTTATTTTGTAGTACCCGTGGACGCAAAGAGAAAGAAGGTTTTTTTTTTAACCAAAAGTTAGAATGTTCTATAACGATGGAAAAAATAAAAAAAAAAAAAAAAACTTTGTTCGTTCCTTTTAATAGTAACATACACGTTTTGACGATAACATTTTCTTCTCGTCAAGATTGGGTTTGTTTTTTTTTCATCATACTATAAATTGTGAAGCGTTATATTTTACTTTTATTTTGCACGTAATCTTTCTTTTCTTTTAAAATCAAAATTCTTTATGATCCTTTCATATAAAGTCCTTCTTAAAAGACATTAGGGAATCTGAACTATTTAATATTTCGAATGCTTCACAATACGTGTGCTAGAAAAAGAAAAAGAAAAACATATGAGCAACGTACCTTACCCCGCTTATGTTTTTATTATGGTTTAAAGTTTAATTAGATTTCAATTGCAATAGCGACGAAAAGCGAAATT